ATACGAACTACGACATGAATCCATAAGGAATCTCTTTTTGGGTGAGCATGAAATAGAAGACTACTATCACCATTGGGGCCGATGTAAGGTCTAATGGCAGGCTCTTAGGGATACTGTTGTTTAGGAATAGCAGTCAGTCAAGGCCCACGGTCATTCGTACGTATTGCTGGAGCTTTGATCTGAGACTACAGTGAAGGCTACCTTGGGCGATAGCATTATCAGACAGACATGAATTCATTGTTGGAGAAATCATCTTTCGGAGTACCTGCGTGAAGGGTCGCAAGAATTGAGAATGAAGGCTTCTGCCGATATACGTACACTGTCTCCTCGGGACTTCAAAACCTAACGCTAAACTTGGGTCATACACCAGAAGCCTACACGTAGGAGGATTGGCGGCGCTCTATCGGCACCTCGCGGTAGTTCATGGAAGGGGGGCGGGGGTTAGCATATGTATGTATGTATGTATGTATGTATGCATGCATGCATGCATGCATGTATGTATGTATGTATGTGTGTGTGTATATGTATATATGTATATATATATATATGTCTCCGTCCGTCCGTCTGCACGTTCGGGTGTGTACATACACAAACGTACGACGTGACCATGAAGAAACCCCACCTTCGCAGTGGAAGCTCACGACCCCAGAGCAACATATTATATATATATATATCGTTATATAGTTATATATATATCTCTCTCTCTCTCTCTCTCTCCGTCCGTTCGTCTGGACATTCGTGTGTGCTGTGTGCACATACACAAACATACGGCCCCACTGAAAACTGTGACCACCTGATCGTGCACTGGACCCCACCTTCGCAGTGGAAGCTCAAGACCCAAAAGCAACATATATTTGGCACCATTTGCTCTCAATGCGTCAAGCCGCAAAACAGAAGATGCCAGCCCCAAGATAGCTGCCCAACATCAGCAAGAAGGCCTGACCTGGGGCTTAGCATTCTGGATGAAATTTCAGAGGTCGGGCTGAAGCTCTGAAAAGGGCTGCGATGATCGTTTTTCAGACGAGCTGCGGGTGTTTGACAAAGACTCATCTGTCTGAACAAAAAGAGTGGCTTGAAAAATGCCATGACTTTCACCTTCAGATTAGCGGGTCGTGGCCTGAAAGAAGCCATGGACTGTTCTAGGGGTGCCTCACATATCTTGGGGCTTGAGGTTGCCGACTGCCTAAGCCACAGGCTTAGCCAAGTCAGACTTGAAATGCCCCACCCTGAAACATCGCAAGAGAATCTTTGCCTAGCCGTCCGAATGAGGGACGATGGGATACGTCCGCACTTGCTCTAGCACAGGCGCGGGACCTTGCCTCCCATAGATCTGCTTGTGGTGTCCGTGGGTCTGCTCGAAAGTAGGAATACGATCTCCCTACACTATAGCCCGATGTAGCACCCTTTAAAAACACAAACTTCCATGCCATATTCGAATTGATTTACCATTGGATTCTAAATGACCCTGTAGACGCAGTTCTTTTTGAAGTCTCCGTGTGGTTTGCTGAAGCTGAAGCGAACCAGCGGCGCTCTACAAAGAGCGGCTTCACGATCAGCGGCCCGTCAGGGTTCGCCTTGGCTCAGAGTACGGATGCTGCTGGTGTTGCAGGGGCCCTTTAAGGAATAGGTAGAGGGCATATTGAGAAAGCATATGCGGTTCTGCCTGAACGATCTCGGTGTCGTACATAGCCGGACTTGTGCCAGAATCAAAACAAAATAGATGCTGTGGTGATAGCGGTGTGGCAGTAATCGGAGATGTCGAAAAGAAATGCAAAGGTAGCTGCGCCGACTTGCAGAAGTAACCCTACACGATCATACAAGCCCAAGCATTCGGGCTTCTGGTACATCAACGCCGAATACTGGGTTATGCTCACCCAGTTCGCAAGTTCTCACCATGACAGCGTCTCTCCACCCAAAAGCGCTCTCATCCCTAAACTTACAAGCCCATCTGCACCAAGCCCGAACAACTTGCTTTTCGAGATCTTGTCTTCACAAGGTGGTCAAGAACTTTAGTTGTGCAGGTCGGGTAGGCTGCCGGGGTTGGAGCTTGTGTTTCAAGAGCCTGTCTTCCCTGTTCCCCTGGGCTCAACGATATGCTGTCCCTGTTGGGTGGGACCCTGCATACGATCCCATCTGAGTGCATCTGTTTCGGGAAACTGCCATGTGCACCTTGAGAGCAGGCTTAGCTACCCAATTCTTCCGGGTCGCTTTGCGAAAAGCGGCAAGTTCAAACACGCACCATAGTCGAGACCTTTGGGCGTTGCGATTGCGATATTGAAGGGCTCCAACCTTTGGGTGTAGGTTTAGTGTTGACATATAGCTTAAACCTTTGGCCCTAAACACAGACCTGAATAAAGATGACATGCGCATCATGATGTTCGAACGGCAGCCTTTTTCGCTCACAGTATCGGCCGGGGGTACTGATCTCTTTGCATCCTTGGGCCTGTATGATGCATTCTACGGTTTAGACTCATGGGCACAGGACATGGGCTACCTCCGTGTGAAGCTTCCGGACTTGGGGATGGAGCATCCGAGGGATTGTTGCAGTAGTCACTAAATGCTTACTGTTAAATCTGAAAGGAATTCATCAGCTCAGCTTCCGGGTACTCAAAAAGGCAGGCGTTGATGCAATAACGAGACGTACGTAGTCATGATATACTCCAGGAGTGCAACCATCCAGCTTAATTCAACCGCAGGCTTGCATCGTCTGCTAGTCACGTAAGCCGCAAAAGAAATCTGAGTCATCTGAGATAGTCTGAGAGCAAAGCAAGTATGGTGGCGACCACCTTGGCTGTTATGTGCACTGCTGACTCTGTGAGGACCATATGGGCCACGCGGAGATTTTGTAGTAGTTGCATTGCACCAATATGTGTTCCGCACCAGGAGCTGTTGTGCACCTGCAATGTCCGACCATGCAGGTCTCAAGATGCGTCAAGTGCCACCGCAGAAAAAATCGCAGAAGCAGAGTTTGAACTGAATGTGCACGACATTGTCAAACGCAGTTCAGGACACGTAGTTTAGGCTTCGATGACCCGCTCCGGATGCATCAAAATAGGGGAGCGCATGCGTCCATGTCATGGTTTACAGCGATTAATGATGGACGAAAAGGAGAGAAGTTCTGAAGGGTAATCGTGGTTGAACATGAGAGCAATGTGGATCCAAGTAACAAAAGGCAATGCGGCCGGTGCACAACAACATTGGGGAAGAGCAAGGACTCACGCCGTTTTCGACTAGTGAACAGCAACCCATCAAAGGTTCCTAAACCGGGAGGGCTAGTCTGGCTGGTTGGCGACTTGAACCTCGCCCGGAAGCCCCGGACCCTAAACAGCCGAAGGAAAATCTGAAGATTAAGTGGCAGTACAAGGAGTGGGGGCACAGGTAGTTTTGACATGTCTTTACAAACTGCAAGGGAAACACGATTGCAAGAACCCTACCTCATGAGGGACGGTGCCTGGCACGCAGGTTACCGAACTTGCAAAAGGGGCCTGGGTCAGCAAAGTGTACTGATTGGCCTCAATGCCAAGAGGAATTGCTGCTGCTACAGTATTTCGCAGGATCTCGGTTTCGTCAAACTAGTGGGGAATTCCATCTTCTTGTGGCAAGCTCTTGGGAAAACTCATTTGCATCTTGCTTTGTGTCAAGTTGAACATTGAACATGCTCTGAATAAGAATCACTCGATGCTGCAAGTGTTAGTTCCCCGATAGCCAGACGCAAAACAAGACCCTACACATGGGATTTACCCAAGAGCTTGCCACAAGACACTTCACTGTAATACTATATCGCATTCCCCGCTAGCTTAACGCAAAACAACACCCTGCAAAAAGGATTCCCCCAACAGCTTGACACGACAGAGCCCGTGCAAACAGCATTCCCCGATGCTTTGATGCAAATCAGTATTCTGCCAGGCATCTGGCAAACAAAGAACATCGCTAACAAGCACAACACCCGATTATTGTTCATAGGATAGGTAGCTGTTGACTGACAGGGCCTTGTGGTGCCGCCCTTGTCCAATATGGTTCTGTCTCACAATGGCGAAAATGCAGCACTGGGCCATGAAGAGGGCCGTGCAAAGCCTACGCCAGGTTAAGCCAGGCAGCCCAACCTTAGCTCCTCGCGGCATTTCTGCTAAGACCGGGGCTGCTCTGACTGAGATGTGCTTTTTAGTTGCACTGGGCGTCTACCCTTGAGGTGTACATGCTCCTAGCGCTCTTTTTGAGGGGGGGAGTCATGGGCCCCACGCTCAGGTGACAAGTTGAGAGCCTTAAGCACCTCTCCTGTGAGGCCCAGAGGGCGAAGAGGAGGGTCGGAACCGGGATCAAGCTTTATGTTTATTACCGCCCTGATGATGATGATGATGATCACGCTGGATTTCGCACGGATGCTGCGAGTTGTTGTCTTTATTTCTTTCGTTCTGTCTTTCTGCTTCCTTCTTTCCTTCCTGCCTGGTAGCTTCTCTGGCCCCAGCCCACCCACATCAAAAAGGCATGCAAACAAACACAAACTCGCCAAGAATGGGCCGTCAATAAACACAGATTCATGACAGGAATGCACATGCAGTTATCAGGTTCCACATCATACGCGCTGCTTTTTGTGGTGGTGAAAGAGCTGACTACTAGAGGAAGCACGTGTACTTCCCGACTGCAAGGTCATGGTCCAGCCGAGTCGCAACACTCGCAGCTGGTTCGAAATACTCCTTGCGGCTTACAGATGTGGAGCGTGCTACAGGGCATGCCCCGGGCATCTTGTAACACGATTTTTGGGCTTTCCGTTCTCTCTCCCTCCTCTGAAGGCGCTGCTTACAGATAGCATCAGCAATAGTGCAGCAAGTCATGTTATAGCCCTTCCTAAACACTACTGTAGCCGCTGGTCCGGATGGCGCTCTGGGCGCAAAACACAAAATGGGGGTCTGGGCGGGGAGCAAACTTCAGTTGCATGAGAGATCATTAACGGAAATGGGATTAATGATGTTGTGCATGCATTAGCTCCCGGCCGCAGGTGTAAAGTGTGGAATCCCAGCAAAGTGACCCCGACCAGGAGCGCTCCCGACAAAAGAGTGAGAATGGACTGAGCTCTGACACTTTGCCAAGGTCCCCAAGAAGAAACTCCCGGCACCCAGAATTGATTGCAACTGCTTGAACCCCAAGCGCATGTGCGCCCTGAAGCCTGGATATCCCTCTGAGACACCCACAAGATTCTCTGCCCAGGGACAGAAAGCCACCTAGGCCGTAGATGCCGCGCTCCATGAGGTCCGGTTCCACCCTGAGCGTGGTTTTCCAATCAGTGTGGAAGCTTCCAGGGCAAAGATGGAAGCTCTTCTGGATTGTTTGGGGTTGTCTTGGGCTTTCAAGGATTTCGGCGGCTTCATGTCTATTGCCTTGGGCTTGGCACTAAGGGTGCAGGGAGTGCAGGCTCCGTTTTTGTCGACTTGAGCTGGGCTGTCGCTTGCAAAGCATGGAGAGCCAGCACAGGTCCTGTCACTGCTTTAGCACACCCACCCAGCCTTTGTTGGTAGCCCCACTGCCCCGAAAGATCGCATGCTGCAGCGGCTTGTTGGAGTAGGGGTGCAGGACATGTCCACTGGCCCGTGTGGGAATTAAAAGGCATTGGCGTTGTAGATCGTAGGAGTCCCTCGTCAAGATTCCGTCGGTTCATGTCACTTCGCTGCGCTTTCAATCCTGGGCAAGTTGCGGAGCCAAACGCCGACCTCTCTGTTCGATTGGTACAGCCGTTTCCCCATGCAATTCTGAACCTCCACACCGTCAAACATTCACGCCCTAAGTTTCTTCATCCCACCGGGATCATCACGCTTGTTCCACAGCAGGGCGCAATGTCACGAAGTTGCGGAGATCCTGGGGTATGAGCGTAATGGCTTGATTACAGGGCCTGATTCCTTCGTCACGTTTCATTACGACCCGTATCATGCACCAAGCATCTGGTTGATGCTGACCACATCGAGGAAGCACTTCGGTGAGTTGCAGAAGAAGAGCCAGTACCTCGGGCGAGGGTGGCCCTTTTCTCGGTTCCGACGTGGGCACTGGGCACCCTCTGTGAAATCGAGCATGAACCGTCATCAACCGAAGCAAACCCAGTTATGCCCTCACATATGCTCTATCCAACCAACTACCCGGCCCTTTGCATCATGACATGACAATAGAAAGTGTTGTGCATCGTGTGCTGGTCAGAAATTTTCAGAGGCATCGGCCCATTCCTGGGTGGTAGTTCCCGAACAGCTGACCATGTTACCCTATACTCCTGAAGGCTCGCGTTGACTCGGCTTAAGGGGTGAAAAACACAACTGTGAATAGATGATTACATAGATGTAAATATCAAAACATCAATAATTAGAGAACGAAAGGCCGAAAGCGGTCGGAGCGCGACACCTATCCATCCATACATCCATCCATCCAGCCCATTCCAACCCACTCCATCCATCCACCTACGCATCCATCCGTCCTTTCATTCCCACATCCGCACCTGTTTAGATAGATCCTCATATAAGCCTTTTCATAGACCGCTCTACAAACCCTCCACCAAGATGTTTCCGCCCCTTCCATGTACCGGCAGGATTCAGGACCACTGCCGAAAAGCTTCCCCCATGTGCTGGCAGGAGACACCCCGGCAATCAATTTGGCACCACACCCACAGCACCTGGACATGCCGCGTCCAGCGAGAAGGTTGTCAGTTCTTCGAGGCAAACATGAGGCCAAGGTAACAGAATCAGCAAAGAAGCGCATTTTCCGGAGGATGCGGACATGCCACTCACACCGAGAGAGTTGTCAATTCCGAACACGAGTCGTCACGGTCCAACACAAGCAGCGCCAGTTTTGGATGCATGGCGACTCCCGCGAGTCTTGCCCCGTGCGTTAAAGGATATTAACTTTGGCTGCTTATGACGGAAAGACATACTCGAGCACGAAAACCTCACATCAGGCCAGCCATCAAACATCGATCGATCCTGCAGAAACCACCTGAACAGAGAGACAACCTTTCGCAATGCTGTCGACAAAAAGCAACAAGACAAAGTCACTAAATAAGCAAAGACAGATAAACAAACCAGTACAGACGGTTTTGACATGTCGGCGGGCATTTTGGCAGGTCGGGGTGTGCTTTTGGCATGTGGGCGCATGTGCTTGACATGTCGGCACAACATGTGGATTTTAGTTTTGGCATGTCGGCACGTATGTTTTGGCATGTCAGCGGATTCTTTTGCAAATTAGTCACATTCAAACTCCCCCAGTGTTTTTCTTCCTTCTGGCGCGTTTAATGTTGGCATGTCGGCGCGTGGTTTTTGCATGCACGTCCGTGCGCAATTCTGGCATGTCGGCGGAAACCCTTTCTTTGGCATGTCCATGTGTATTTTTCAGCATGACGGCGGAAATAAGTTTGAATGCCGACGAGCGGCGTCCCAGATAACAAACAGATATAGAAGGACGGACAGACGGACAGACCGACGGACAAACCCACGGACAGACCTACGAAAAGACAAGACGGACAGACGGACGGACGGACAAACAGACGGAAAGACGGACACACACTCACTCTCACTCACTCACTCACTCACTCACTCACTCACTCACTCACTCACTCACTCACTCACTCACACACACACACTAAGTCACGCAAACAAACAATCAAACAAACAAACAAGCGACAAAACAACACAAACACACACACGCACACAACAAACAAGCAACACAAACAACCCAACACACTAACTTACAAACAGGAAACCAAACAAACAGACTGCCAGACACACGCACACACACACACACACCCACACACACACAAACACACCAAAAATTACTTGTGTATATCCACCCATCCATGCACAAATTCATGTATACAACTTTACGCAACTAGACGTGCAATGCCGCTTATCAGGCCCATCGTAACCCACTGCTCGCAAGCACGCTGAGGAACCTCTATGATTCTATGATCTGAGCCATCTCCAATCCGTAAAGATTGGACCCAGACACACTTGGCAACTCACGGCATAGTGCTGAATACCGACACCATTGCACAGCATCCTGGTTGTGACAGTACAAACCACTGAGATAGCAAAAAGGCAAGAAACGCGCAGCCTTGTCATGTAACTGTCTGCAGTTTGTAGGAAACTCCTCAATCTCGTCCCTCGGTCCTGATAAGAAGCGCTAGGTAGACAAGCTCGCATCCCAGCTGCGGCGACAGGAAGAGCGCAAGCAGGGCTGTGAAAACTCCGGAGAGATAGACCCACCTGGGGCTCAAGGTGCTGCTGTCCCGAAACAGTTCGTCGCCTGTCGCCCTGTGATATCTAATCCATACTCCAGGTCCGCATATACACTCCTCAGAGCCGCACATGCGAAAAACCGAAGCTTCTCATACTCCATTCCGTTCATCTTCAAGAGTCCGCAAGGTCGACATCCCAAAATCCCAAGACCTAAAGCTTTCGAATTCCCTGAATCCCAGTTCTGTGAAAGCCCACGGAGCGAAAGGGCAGATTTTTTGGAAGCCCAGAACATCCGCGCGGAAAGTCAAGGGCGTCGGCAGCCTCAATGCAAGAGGTGCTTGGTAGCAGAAAAGTAATTAGCTGCGGCGGACGAAGAAAGGAACGGATGACCACACTGGTAACAATGCTGCTTGCAGTACTTGCCACCAACCTCTGTTGTGAGATGTTGGTACTTCTCCATGCAAGTACTTCTTAGCCAGTCTGGGGATGCTCGGGTCAGTCGGGACTACGGACCCGGACTAAGCTGGAACATGCCACATGCCAGAAGCCCACAACAATTGATTCATCACCAAAACCTGCTCCCACAAATTCTAGGGATGTCTATAATAGTCATGCACCTGTACTTGGTTCTCTTCCTCATGGGCCTCAGACTTCACTTAGTGATATAACGGGACAAAAGTATAGATTATCTGTAACTAGTGCAAACCTGCCCCTTGAACTCCAAGAAACCAGCCGAAGGCTCCCAAGAAGAAGACGAAAGAGGCCTCGGGGAAAGGACATGGATTTGGGTTCAGCACGAGGACCACCGGATAGGGTTTGGGGTGTGAAAAGCAGAGATACAGACGGTTTCGCACACGCAAGAGGGGTGGAATTTCGGTAAGTTGTGAGTCTTTACTAAAGGTTGACGACACGCGGGTTCATTTGGAGCTGTGCGGGAAGATTTTTGTTGGACAGTGCTGAGACTTGCATGCCTGTGCCAGGGCACATGCGAAACGCAAAGGTGTCGATTTGGGCCAGTTGTTGTTGCCGTCATTCTCCCGTCCAACCCGTTGCTCCAGAAGTCTATCTTGCAACTGTTGGATATTGTAGCCCTGCCCTTCGAGTTGGCTATCGGCCGGCTCATGACATGATGCCTTCTCTGCCGAAATGCAGCATACCCTTCATGGGAGAATCGGCGATCTCGTCTGAAATAGGCAGATAGGACGACTGCTCACGTGCGGCTGAAGAAAGCCCTGTGGCATGTCACATGTGTTCTGCTGTCTTGCGCAGGAGGCCAGAAGAAACGGAACCCCAGGAGAAGCCTTTCAGAACTCAGTGCTGTAGAAGACTCGATTGAGTTGTCTTCAGTATAGCGCTTACTGACAAAGCATGAAACCAGCGACCAGCTTGACAAAGTCACACTTGGGACATTCAGGTGGTCTTTTTACGAGAGAATTCAAAATATGCTCGAATTAGCCGGCTCGTGGACTTTCCGATGATTTAGGGCTTTACACGTTTTCCCCGGTGTTTCGGTAGGATGAGTTTTTGACTGTGTTGACTTGCAGTTCCTGACCTAGCATGGAGTGGCTGCTTTGGGCTACGAGCCACGAGCCACTACATCGCCGAATCTGAGGGCCTGCTTCCAGAGTCGACCGTGCAACTGCACGAAACTACTTGTCCATGGCTCACAAGCAAGCACAGGCGCCACACAAGCCCAGCAGGTAAGCGTGAAGGGCCAGCCATACTGGAAGAGGAGGGAAAGCACCTACTCCAGGGTCAGCATGATTTCCTTTTTGCAGCAGGAAGCTTCATTGCAGAAAGCAGAACCCTTGAAGCAGGTCACGTTCAAAAAGAGTGCAAGCCAAACTCCAGACCCTGAACCGTCATCAGGAGTACTTGCAGACTTACAAGCTTTCTACCGCTCTTCTCTGGCCTTCCATCGGCCGGGTGTCCTCCAGGTGTGGGAGAAGAACCTCTGCAACATGACGACAGCAATGCCCAGCATACCTGCCCCGTACACAGCATGGAATCCCGGAAGAGACGAATGGATGAAACAGGCCGAATAATATCAAACCACAATGAGGCAGTAGAAACAGAAGCAACGATACCTGGTCATTGCAATGCCATATGAAAGCAGCGCTGCAAAGCACTGACACATGCAATCTCCGTGAGATACCACAAACGATAAGAATAACCTGACAGGAGCGTTCGTGGCTTTCAATATCCCAGACAGACATAAACAAACACAGGCATTTTGCAATTGCGGGCCCCTTGCTTACACAACTTGCTGTAGGAATCGAGATTGCTACGTTTGTTGTCAGAGCGGTTCTCAGAATTCATGAAGCTGTATGGCTCAAACACCAGCCTGCAGTGCCGACACTACGTTCTCCATCTCAGGCCACAAACCCTTCAGCCCCGAACCCTGCTAAAGTCAATCAAAGTATCTGACACTTGGGGTTGCTGTCCGGGAACTTATATTAACAATTGCAATACAAGTTTGCCGTTTGGTAGCTAGTGAACTCCGTAGAAGAACTGACCAGAAGACCCCGGCAGCCAAAGGGCACGTCGAAGCGATCTACGGGCTCCGACCTGTCCCACAATTTCGACTTGGCACGTTCGTCCTTCGAATTGTTGCAAGGTGTACAGTTTATGTTTTCGGGGCTCAGGATTGAAGGCTTTAGGCTAAAAGGGGTTAATTACTAAGCCTTTGTTGACACTCCCGCTCGGATGCTCCGGCCAGGCTTGGTGCGACGATCAAACAAGTGAGAAGAAAGACAGGCGATCATGTGGGCGACAAACGACAAAGGCCCAGTGCACCCCCATAAATTAATGCACCGGCAACATTGATCGCCTCAACGGATGCTTGGGGGTTAGGCTTTACGCTTTACAGTTTAGGGGTCTAAATAAGGACGCACAGGATATACCCGCAAGTGACCCTAGACGTACGTTCAATGGGTTTCTCTTGGGGATTTCCCATTGGGCTTATACTGCGAGAATCTCCCATGTGGTCGGAGGAGCAGGAAACGAAACGCCTTGAACTCCTGAAGGAGGGGTGATGCTAATTTGCCACGATGCCACCTTCATCTACATCAATTTCAGATTTCAAGCCGCAAAGGTCCGAAACCCAAGAACATAAAGCCTCAAAGAATTCCAAACTCAGGTTTTGGGTGTACCTGTCACGGGGTCTATGGCTTAAGGTGTAGAGGCTCAAGCGTGAAGGTTCCACATGACGACCCTGAACTCCTTCAAGCGCAAGAGCTGATGTAGGCACATTCGGGCTTATAAGCAGCTACACCCATGCTGTGGATTCAGGCAGCTACCCAGGTTCGATCCCCCGACATCCGGCCTGAACGTAGAACCGAGAATTCACATCGGATCACAAAGCCGGCACTCTGAAAGAAACCCCTTTATCCAAAACCCCGAAAGTCTTAAATACCCAAATCCGAAACTGGGTCGCATCCCCCTAGATCTTCAACCTCGAGATGCGCCAAGTCCCTACAGTTATCCCTGAACCTTTACATCTGAAGTCCGAGTTCCCAACCCCCTTGCCCCTAACATCCCAAACCGTGTCCATGTCCACCGGCGACTTCTGCCAGAGCCGTCCGCTGGCGCGCAAGCTGCTGGCCACGGAGATGCCTCGGACGATGGCAGTGTCCACCTGCGGCTTTGGGCTTGACTTGGGTTGAAGGCTCGGCCGGTTCAGGTTTCACGACTTCTGGATTTCAGCAGAGGGTTTTCGGTGATCGAGCTTGCTCTAACGCAAATGGGACTCGGACTTGTGCACGGCTTCATTGCTTGCTGCGCTTGCGAGCGGGGTTGCTTGGGCACGAGGCTTACATCACTAAACACTCCGGAGGATTCACTAAACAAGTAACAACGCAACACGGCGTTAAACGTGCTGGGAAAGTTTTTAGTATCAAAGCTGAAGACTGGCATGCTGCAAAACCGGTGTCTTGAGTTCAAGCGAAAGCCGTGTTTGCAGCATCTATGTATGCAGCTGGCGAGACGAAGCAAATCGCAGCAATATCCACGAATGAGATTCGAGATCGCCAGTAGACAGCCTCATGTAATTATCCATCACTACATTCCCTAAGCCTGTCTCCTTCCGGCCCAGTGGCATTCGCAATTCCGGGGCCGGAGTGTGGCGTACAGTGAGGGCAAGTGCTAGTAAGTTAGCCCAGTCGCACTGATGCTGATGGACATAGAACAGGACAACAAACTAAAGCTGTGTCAACGCGAAGCTGCTAGTGTAGCTATAAAATCCTGTCATTCGAGCTAGGTGTGTAGTGAAGCGATGCGCAACCTCCAGCACCTTCATGGCTTCCAGCTGATTTTGCCTTAGCGCGCCCAAGAGCAGAGGGATCGTTCGCCGCAGGGGTCCACAGAAACTCCATGCTGTTCGCACTGGCCGAAACTCCGCGGTCACCAGCACAAACATCCCGCCGCATGGTTTTTTGTCGGTGATTGTTTTGTGAAGTTGTGTTTTCGCTACAGTTTTAAACAGATTTCAATGTTGTTTTGGGTAGGAAAAAAGTGCTACGTTTTGCTTGAATCCTAGGAAACGTGTGGTTTCAGCACGATTTCGGGTCCCATAAAAAATGTTACATCATCGCACGGTGAAAGTTACGAATTCCTCGGTATTTACAGGCTTTGGTGTGTTTGAAGCTTCAAAGTAGGGGTTTTCCGCGGAG